GGACCAATTGGACCAGTCCAAATAGGTCCAATTCAGAATGACCAATCAAATTTTTGACTTATAAAAGTAGGGCGCTAGAAACTACTTACAATTACTAATCAGACGTAGTGTCCAGACTTATACGATTTCAGAGATTTTTCATTGTTCAAACAATGAAAAATCTGTGAAACCGCATATGTCAGAACACTAATTAGATTATTGATAACTTTATTTGCGCGTTAGGAGCTATTTGGGGCGTTCTCAATCAAACACATATTGAATAAGCGTTTAATTCATAACATCCCACGTTTCGATTAGATTTTGTGTAACAATTGTCGGACCTCACGAAGGCACATTTTGATTGAGAACGTCCCATTTTACAATTACTAATCAGATGTAGTGTCCAGAATTATGCGATTTCAGAGATTTTTCATTGTCCAAACAATGGCAAATCTGTGAGTCTGAACACTAATTAGATGATAACTCTATTAGGAGCTTATGTGAAGGTCGTTACACTGCAATAACTCAAAATTGCTTATCTATGCAAGTTGACTGTATGATTTACATTTCTTCGCGCTTGGCATGTTAGCTCAGGTCAACCCGGGTCAGTATTTTATGACCCGGGTCACTATTTTCTGACCCGGATTATAGCTCTAATCAGCCTAGCATAGAATCAGAACACCTGCGAAAGAAGAAAAAAGCGAAAATACTCAAAAAAACCTGTGTTTAATCGACCTTGACGCATTAATTAAAAATGTCGGGAATGAAATTTTACATATAATGGGTCTTTTTCTATAGCCTCTATCATTAAGACCCTAACCCCAAATTTTCGTTTCACGCACTTAGTTTATTTACAAAATCGGATTTCCTTTTTTGGTTTGTATTACTCGCGAAAATTAGTAAAATTGTGGTTTGTATTACTCGCGAAAATTAGTAAACTCGTACGTACGTACGTACATGGTTTTCCGGCCTTACTTATTTGAGCATAAAAAGGAAACTGCCAATTACTCAGCCTGACATGATTTCGAACACGTGCGAAATAAAAAAAAAAAGCGAAAATACTCAATAACTAGTGTTTAAATCGACCTTGGTGCACTAATTAAAATAACGCTTCATCACTATACCTCTAATGGTGACAACCTGGCCCTAAATTTTTATCTTTGTGTACTTAATTATCTACAAAATTAGGTTTCCTTTTTTGGGTTGTATTACTGGCACAAAGAAGTAAATACGCAATTTTCTATCTCCATTTAAGGGTTCCCAAATTTATTTAACAAATGCCTCACATTGATAAGCATATTGCATAAATATACGTACCGGTATATATAAATTCGAGAATTAAACTCGTTTTCAAAAATCAATAATGGCAAACCACGAAATACGTAGGTATTCCTATTATTTACTTTTGTAATGAAATTCAAACACTTTTTGAAATAGACTTGAAAGATAGAATTATACACAGATACAATGTATAAATATTAAAGAATGTGTTTATTCAACAGATAATTATCTTTAAATAAATAGAATGTCCGGATCCGAACAATAAATTTTATAAAATTTTACAAATCAATTTTATCTCAAAATTTAGGAATACTAGAGAATATTGAGTTCCAATTTGGCCTTGCCAAAAATGGTATCCAATTTGAAGAAAAGTTAAATATATTTTTAAGCCTTGTCCTAAAAAAACTTGCAGATCCTCATGAAATTGTGCGAAAAAAGGTAAAAACGCAATCTTTGATATGGTATTTGTAATTTATTAAATAAACTATTTTTTCAACAAAATATACTAGGCCATAGATATATTTAATCACATTAATAAAAGAATGACAAAAACTGTTAAACTTCCATGGGATTCGCTTGTTAAACTTGCTTGTTCAGAAAATTTTATGGATTCACCCATGCTTAAGAATTTTACAATTATGTATCTTGAAAAGGCTTACGATCGTCTAAATGAAAAGGTATAATGTAATCTCGACTTATTTCAAGTTCGAAAATTTAAAATTCAGGCAATTTACGAGGATAAAATTTATGTTAGTATATAATCCTAGATTCTTAAGACTGAATTTTATGAGGTTTTGGTAATCCACTACAGTCTGACCTCTCTATAGTCACACTCCATATAGTCACACTCTACAACCATTAAAACAATCAATCTGATCCTACAAGCAGCATCTAACCTCAATCTCAGTCTACAAAAACA